CAAATGAGTAAAATTCCTTATATTTACAACGCACTGGCAGATACAAGGCTTTTTTCTTGATATACTGTCAACATGCATATCACTGCAGATCAGCTGAACGGAAGACTGCACATATTCAGAACTGAAGTAACACATTACACATCATCACTGCCATAAAAAAGATCAGATCTGCAAAGTTTCTAGACTAAAAGCTCCTTTCTCCTGGAACATCAAGACAACTAGAACCAAATTCAGACCACATGCAACAGCTTCTCAACTGGAATTGCAATGAAAATTCACAGGAAGATGCACTTTTTTAAATATTGATGTGTAAAACTAGGTGTGACAAAAGGGATTCATTATAAATATGAAGCACTTCAATTAAGACTTGAAACATTTGGAGAATATTTAAAAGGTACATCAATGACAATTTACAACTGCATCGTCCCAACAAATTAACTACAATTGAAGAAACATTCATGGAGTCAGAGATTCTGAGTAACTGAGACTGCTCTACACCAGGTAAATGAATCAACACATGGTTCTTTTCTCCATTTATTCATTTATTTTGATTGTGCATTATTCATCATGTAAAACACAACATAAATGCATGTAAACCGATTCCACACACTGGTCAAAGCAATAGTGTTTTATAACATGGGTGATGGTTCAATGGTCAATTTGATGCATAGAAATTCTTGTATTTCTTTCTACTTCAGTATGTGATGCACTTGTGGAAAGCAAGTTATCACGTGAAGGAAGGTCACTGCAGCTCTTATATAATCTAATATCCTGCACCCAGTGGCTCAGAAATGAAATAATTTATCTGTCAAGCTATAAAGACATCACATAAAAATCAACCATAACAGTATAAAGGAAAGTATGCTTTGGGAAGTGGTGACCCTGGTTCCAGAATAGCCTCTGAAACATTACATTTGTAAGAATTAAAGCAAGACAATGGACAACTTCCAGTGATATTCCATCTTAACAAACTTTGAAATACTTATCCGTACTTCTCCAGTAACCTCATGGTTCCTAGTAGTTCTTAGTTCTTTTAATGTGCAACATCCTTCACAGGATCCCCACATATATGTATGAAGTAATTTCAGATATTAAAAGCACTATATGTGCATGTCAATATATAAAACAGTCTCTTATGAATATGTATATAATGATATTAAAGTGAGATTATTTGAAGTCCAAAAAACAAATGCATACATTTGGCAACGTTCCAGACAGCCTCAATCAAAAACTTAAATCAGCACCAACATTCAAGTTTTCTAAATGAAACAATGAGCAGATGCATGTTTGGGCAAATGGTACCAAGGCTCTTGATTCAAATCCTTCTAGGAGTATGCTCCAGCTTATCAGGAAGATGTTACAAAGCAGAGTATTCAGACGCCTAAATTATAAACTAGCAGGAAAGCAAAAAATTCAATTTTATGTGTGTTATGAATATAGTACAAAAAATTAAACTACAAAATCAAAATTTTTGAACCCTCTCTTATACCCAGGTTATTAACATGCATAAAGTAATTCTGTATTTCAGCATCCTGTTGCAATTGTTTAACTTAACATCCATGTATTTATCGTCCGTCAATATTGCAACACTTGTTTATTCACTACTTAATTTTAATTTTAGTTCAACATTATAAACTTTGACACTACATGTTTCAGCCCCAAATGGCCATTTTTGGGTGTCTTGATATGTTACAAATATTTATTAAATTATGTTAAAACTTCTACACTGTCTTAGACCATGTTAAAATCACACGCTGTAGTTCTCTTTTCCAAGGTAAAACCAGATGAAATCCTTTAAAGTTTCTATTATACCCACGTTTGTTTTGTGCATTTTATTTCACCTCACATGGGGTGTCATCACTAGTAAAGACAACAACACATGCTGCGGAGGAAACATGCAAACCTAGGAGCATATGACAGTCAGAACTGAAAAGTAGGCTACGAATGTGACGGGCAAGCTGCCAGAACAAAACACCCTGGACAGACATACATTTATGAACAATGGACGACACCGCATGTGAGGTGAAATAAAATGCACAAAATAAAGGTGGGTATAAAAGGATTTTATCTGGTTTTATCTTGAAAAGAGAACTAGAGCGTGTGAGTTTAACATGGACTAAGACAGTGTAGCAGTTTTAACATAATTTAATAAATATTTGTGACATATCAAGACACCTGAAGATGGCCATCTGGGACCGAAACATGTAGTGTCAAAGTGTATAATGTTAAACTAAAATTTAAATTAAGTAGTGAATAAACAAGTGCTGCAATAATGACGGTCGATAAATACATGGACGTTAAAAATGCATAAAGTCTTTGGATACTTCTTATCAATTATAAAAAACTATATATGCACAATCCTACACTGCCACAAGACACTGTGACAATGAATAAATTTCTAGTGAGCTAATATATGATGGGTGTTCCGTATATAATGCCTCCTATTTTTTTGTGTTAATATGTAATATCTGAGCTGGATGTTGGTGGTGTTGTAGTAAAGGTTGAACTTTCCCGTCAATGTACTGTTAGTTTGGTTATCGTGCGACAGATAGTGACAGCAGAGCAGTCTACCAAAATGGCAACTTATATAGAAGTGCTTACGAAACAGAGATGTGTTGTTGAATTTCTCATTGCCGAACAAATTGCACCCACTGACATCCATCAACGCTTGCTAAAGGTGTATGGAGATGATACAGTGAATGTCAGCACAGTGAGGTAGTGGGTAGTGTGTTTCAACAGTGGCAAAAGTAAAGTGCACGATAAGCCACGCCCTGGGTGTGCCTGCTCAGTTGCCATTCCTCACAATGAACAGCACCTCGATCAGCTCATCCATACAGATTGGCAGATAACGATCAGGGAACTGCGTGCATGGCTTAATATCGACTGTAATGCATTGGAAATGATGTTGGGGAAGCTGGATTATAGCAAAGTTTGTTCCAGGTGGGTCCCATCCAGATGCTTATACAGGACCACAAAACTCATCAAATGGAAGTCTGTCAGGACCTGTTGCACCAGTTTGAGGCTGAAGGTGACAAGTTTCTGGACAGCATTGTCACCGGAGATGAGACATACTGTCAGCACTACGAGCCGGAATGCAAAAGACAGTCCATGGAGTGGCGACGTCCGGATTCCCCAAGAAAAAACAAGTTCAAGACACAGCCATCAACAGGGAAAGTGATGTGCATGGTCTTTTGGGATAGGCGGGGTGTGACTTTGTTGGATTCCCTGGAGCCTGGTGAGACTGTTAATTCTGAACACTACAAGATGACAGACTAAGCTGAAGGCCTGCATTTCCCGAGTCAGGCCAGAGAAGCAGATAACCTTTCGCTTGCAACATGATAAAGCTAGACCCCATTCCAGTTTGGCGACCACCGCGCACATTGCAAAGTTTGACTGGACTGTCCTACCACATCCACCTTATAGCCCCGATTTAGCACCTTCAGACTTCCATCTCTTTGGGCCTAAGAAAGACGGACTACGTGTGCAACATTTTCCAGACAACGATGCTGTCATTGCAGCTGTAAGAAAGTGGCTAGCCTCTGCTGGTGCAGACTTTTACAGGCGCGGCATACAGGCTCTTGTTCATCGCTGGCAAAAGTGCATAACGAATGGTGGTGATTATGTGGAAAAATAACTGTTGGTAGCTGAAATCTTGCTCTATTTAACTGCGTTATTATGCTTTCTGTATCTGTAGTAGTTTTCATTAATAAAATAGGAGGCATTATATATGGAACACTCCTCGTATAAGAAGAACTGAGTTCATTACTGTAGCAGTTTACAAAAAGTATTTATTCATTTCCATAGCTTGCAATACCACCAAGTGATGGTAAACAGGCTGACTGTGAACACATTACTGTTTGGAGAGCAAGTAAAACCCAGACATGAACATCTGAACATCCACAATGGCAAATGGCCTAACTTTGTGAATTCACATTCCACCAAAATCCCTCTTCCTACACTCCATGACTCTTTTGATGTGTTTTGAGTAGTGTCTTTGAAACAAAGTCTTTGCTGCATATGTGACACTTATAAGGGCGCTGTCCTGTGTGGTATCGCTTATGAATAACCAGAGTGGAGCGTTGTGTGAATGTCTTGCCACACTGTTCACAACTGTATGGCTTTTCACCCGTATGTGTCCGCTGGTGAATTCGAAGATTGCTACGTTTGTTAAATGTCTTACCACACAAGTCACATACAAACGGTTTTTCACCTGTATGTGTGCGCCGGTGTATCTGCAATGATGCGTTGCTCGTCATGGCTTTGCCACAGAGGTCACAGAGATACAGCTGGTTCTCACCCATGTGTGCATTCATGTGCATGGTGAGGGACTTCTTGTAGGCAAATACCTTGCCACATGTTTCACACTCAAATGGCTGCATGCCATGATACAACTCAGGATGATGAGAGCGCTGATGTGCTATCAGGTAGTGTTTGTGGATGTATGCTTTGCCACATGCACCACACTTGTATGGTTTCTCACCTGTGTGAACGTTTTTATGAGCCTGAAGCTCACAGTTTGTGTAATAACCCTTGCCACATTCATCACACTTGAATCGAAACTCATGTATGTGTCTCTTCTGATGTATCTTCAGATAAGCCTTGTATATGGTCGCATAGCCACATATATCGCAGACATGGTTCTTTTCCCCAGTGTGTATCTTTTTATGTCCTGTCAGTTCGTATGAGCTCTTGTAAGTCTTGTTACATATTTCACATGTGAAAGGGCGTTCTTTGGTGTGAATCCTCATGTGGTTACGTAAGTTTTTCCCGGTTGTGAACACTTTCTCACAAACCGTACATTTGAGCTCCTTTGGCTGGTCATGGGATCTCATGTGAAATAACAGCCTGTTTTTGCTATTAAATGATTTTCCACATGAGTGACATGTATGACCTGAACTACTGCTTCTTGCATGAAAAGTCCACTTGAGCCCATCATAGACACTGCACTTTTCCAACTGTTTCCTTCCTGGTTTAGAGCATGCTTCAGATGGCTGTTTTGGGTTGGAATCAGTTTTTGTTGTGGGCCATGCTGAGCTTCCACCAGAATTGTCTAAGGCTTCACTTGCAGACCTAGAAAGAAGAGAAACATCAAATTTCCTTTACCCATAACTTCATGATGCACAGTCAGTTACAAATACACATCAACCGACCACTGTGAATGCCATTCATGTCTCTCAAAATATCACAACTGTGTAACCACAGAAGATTCAGAATGCAGAAGTCACCACCTCTCAATAAAATGGTAACACCACTTTAAGAGCATCACTGAAAACATTACGAAAATAACTGATATAGAACAGTACAAAAGCGACATGTAAAATATGAATACTCATTTTTTTAAAAGTATAAAATCATAATACCATGCTGACATTAATTACTGGAAGCAGCTTATCTAACATGTTCCAACAAACCCCTTAAAGCTTTCCTGCCTGCAGGATAACACTCAATGAAATACTTAGAATATGCTGACACTTGAGTCAATTCATGTTCTGGTGAAATATATATATATATATATAAAAAATTCAGACATTTAAAAATGTCACTGAAATTTCTATGATTATGCTCTAGATGAGAGTAGACATCACATGCCAACTCAACATATTTGTTCGCTCACTGCAAGCAGATTAATCTTACACACTGAAAGAAAGATATATAAAAATCCCTTCTTCTGTAAATATGGCAAAAAAGGTAATGTTGCACTGTACAATATAGACATGTGGGGATTGCAGGTATACCTCCACCACTCATGACATGGAGGTGAGTGGTCGGCTTCGCAACCCGGTGACTTTATCTGTGGGGAGACAGCCTCTAGTACCCACTGTACAGGGGGTTGCGTGGGCCCCAGAGCTTGTTGGGATGCTGTGGAGTAGAGAAAAATCTCTTGCTCCTGTCTCAAATTTAACCCTGGCCATCCAACCCACAGCCCATGACTAGACCAACTGAGCTATCCTGGTCCTTCTGAACATCATATCTTGACATGAATAAAAGTAGTCATCAAAAATCCTTCAACCAAACAAGCTGGTGTACTGGTACTGCTCTTAACTTATATTTACGAGGGGCATGGTTTACACCTCTGGTGGCACTGAGATTAAGCCCTGACCCCCTCCTTCCAACACTTTCCAATTTATCTATTATCCTACCATTCAGCATGGTACAGTCTAATTACAGACAGCATCATATATTAACTGGTCCTTATAAAATAGGCAAAGAATGCAATACTGTGATCACTGGCATCTTCAAGAAAACCATAATGATCAACTACTGATATGCTATGTAATGCTGTAGAGCTGACAGGTCTTCAACAATTAATCTGATGACTTTAATTTTTAAGATATTAAATGTGAAACACCAAGTCGAGGAAGTAGAGCTGAGATGACACAGTGCTAAGAAAAGTTCTGTGTTCTCTGGTACATCACATATATTAGTACTGTTTGCTGTGAAAAGCTTAAGACTGCAGTTCAGCAAGATGGCATAAGAAGGAATACATATGGTGCAAATGAATCGTGTGGTAAAATGGATTGTGGCCTACTCAAATCAGGGACTGATGAAAAACAATCATATTCCTTACCATATGGAATAGGTTTGGGTGCATCAAGGGCTGCAAATTGGAGCATAGCAACTACTCTATACACATGACGCATGACATTTTCCAAACTGCAAAGTGATTCAATCCTAAAAGTCACAAATCATGCTCTGTGTCCAAGGTATGAAACTGTACCATAATGCTTCAAAATCATTGCAGACAGCCTGAAATTACTTCATCCTCCTCAAAAACAATTATGTTAACCTGACCAGTAGACAAAAACTCATGACATTCTCCAATAAATATGTTCACATAAATAGGAAGGACACCATAGCCTATGTTAATAACTATTATTATGAAGTCAGTGATCTACATGGTATACGACTCTCAGAGTAAAACAACATCAGAATTTCCCAACATATAAAGAAACATTACGCACAAAATTACCAAACTATGATTTTTACTAATATGATAGTGGTACTCATATGCTTCACTACACTAGTGTACCAGTACTTGTCATCTAATAAAAATGGAATACAGACCCAAAGTAACTATTTATCTTGTATTTTACATAAAACTGGTTTTTACTTGTCCATATATCCCTAAAATTTATGATAATTTTAAACCTTTAGCTACTTAGCATAAAAATTCTGACACTTAGCTGTAATAACTAATGATACTGCTGACAAGTTGGACAGCTGTGATAATGGTATAGCAGGCAGAAAGGATTACAGTACTGCCAACAAGATTAAACTAAAGAGGGAGACAAAGTGGCCCACACTGCTGTTGAGTGCAACAAAATTGGCTAATTTATCAAAAAAATATTACTAGAGCATAAACGTGTGCATAAGTGTACGCACATTCCATGTAAAATGTCAGATGTGGCAATACTGGCACTGCAGCAACCTTGGAGAGTAGGTCACCATTCCATTCAGAACACCTGACTTCTGATTATAATGCAAACACAAGTTTTCCATTTTTAGTCTGGACTCATCATGAAGTTGAAGTGATCTATCATAGTATAGTAGATTTTAATCTGAGTTATGACAGCATAACTCTGATATTAACCTTCATATAATCTGCAACACAAATTTTTTACACTTCATATTTAAGCTGTGGTGCAAAAGTCACTACCCCATGATGTGATCACTATACTTATCCACACATGCACCAAACGGCAGGTTCCCTCAATAAATTGTGGGGTATGTGTATGTGAATGTCTCTAAATGGAAATATAAACTTCATCACACTAGACTAAATGGATTACTGTCCACCTTGATACAGACTAAGAAAATTGTAATGCAACAAAATTCACTGCTACTGAGGAACTTTAATTTTCCTTTGAAGATTCATGTGTCAAAGTACACAACCTTCTACCCTGAAGTACAACAGGCCTTAAGCATGCAACTTTTAGAAAACAAGAATAGAAAAAATGTAATATTTGTCTCTGTCACAAACAATCATAGACAGTGAGCGGCCTCTGTAGTCTAGGGGTAACATTCCCACCTCATGACTCAAGGTACGCGGGTTCAAACCCGGCGGAGGTCGTGGTATTTTCAAGGGCGGAAAAATTCAGGGAACAAATCCTTCGGGAGGGACTTTAAGCCGTGGGTCCCATGTCGTAGATTTATGGCACGTAAAAGATCCTCATGTCTCTAGGAGACATCTGAGCAAAATTAGTCAACAATTTCCCACCCAAGTAGTTTCCAATGCCTCTGGTAGATGGGGAAATATCAGGTACCGACGGCTGACCTCGTTGGCTGAACGGGGCTGATAGCACGCACCAGTACCTGTAGGGTATGGCGACAGTAGAAATTAAAGGGGGATGCACAATGATCCAATAACTGGTCTAAGTGCACGGGGAAACCCACCCCCACTAATAATAATAATAATAATCATAGACAGTGAAAGCTGGACTTTATCTCAACATATCACATTACGAAGTCACTCACTCTGCAGTCCAAACATTTCCTATCAAGTATAAATGCATAAAAGAAAATGTAAATAATCTCAATTTTATCAAATTTCCTCTGATGATAATAATTCTGAAATATGCGAAGGATAGAAGGGCTGGGATTACGAGTCTTGTACAGGAACTGCTATACCAGTTACGTGCCTATACCCATGAACAGTGAGTCACCCAACATTCTGACAGTGGGTGAGGGAAGTATGGTGTAGAGCAGGCATGTCCAACTTCAATCAGGTGGTGATCGACTTTTTAGTATCAAAACTACCAGTGATCTACCACACCCTCCTATGGTCGTACCTCACTTTAGGCAAAAATATTGGTAAAAATAACACGACACATGATGTTTGTTGTAAAACCAACATACACTGAAAGTACAGACTACTTTAATGCGTATTTTCCCTTCAGAATCCTTATAGGCCTATGAGATCGACCAAAAATCGTCCCGTGATCAATGCGTTGGACATGCCTGGTGTAGAGTAATACACATTTCTTGTTTTATACAAAACTGCTTCTTACATCTTGGTAGCTACCTTCCATGAAACAGGGAAGTGCTTTTTGACCAGTGCTAACTTCTGGCAAAATCCACTACTACTCCTATGAAATCCTGGTGGACTTATCTTGAACTAAATGGTGCTACAATTCAGATGGCTGTACTCTTCACAGTCGCTGCTATGAGGACCTCCAATCCAACACCACTGATTGTTCAGATACACATGAAACTGTTGTAACACTGTGAAAACTAGGCCTGCTAGGCCCATCTACAAGGGACACTCCAGCAATCAGAATTTGGTGGTTCATCATGCCTTACTTTGCAACAAGGAATCTAGACCATTAGAGCCCAATGGTGGGGTGGCTGGTGAACAATGAATTTGAACATATTTGGAAGAAATTAGTAGCAGTCTAACTGATGCACATGGTACTATCCTGATATTTGCCTGGAGGGTCTGATGAAAACCATAAAAACTCTACTGGGCTCAAGCAACATGTGAACCAAGCACCTCATAAATACAAGTGTAGAGATCTTCCACTACATGAACCAGTTAATAACTTTAACTTCATATGCCTGGGGAAACTGTGCATTGATACTGGATAAACAATGTAATTTCAACACAAATCATCATTTTGTAATGTTATGTAATGTGAACACCCTACCTCATATGCACTTTGACTTCTGATGTATTTTCAGCAAAGTTCTAGTAACAAAGCCTTTACTGCACAGTTGGCAACTGAATGGCCTCTGTCCTGTGTGGTAACGTTTGTGCACAACGAGACTTGATTGCTGTGTGAATGACTTGCCACAGTGGTCACATGTATAGGGCTTCTCCCCTGTGTGTGTACGCAAGTGGAATCGAAGACCCTGTTTCACTGCAAAGTGTTTGCCACAAATATTGCACCCAAACGGCTTTTCGCCCGTGTGGATTCGTTTGTGTGCTTCAAGTAATACATTGCTTGTAAGGACTTTGCCACAGATGTCACAGAGATACAATCGATTCTTCCCTGTATGACCACCACTGTGCAGCTGCAATGACTTCTTCACTTTATACACTTTGCCACAAATTTCACAGCTATAGCCCATGAATGCAATAGTGCTGCCATCTTTCTGTATTCCAGGGTGAGTATCTTCTTTGTGTCGCATTAAGTAACACTTCGAAATAAATTTCTTTCCACATACATTGCATCCAAATGGCCGTTCTCCTGTGTGTAAATTACTGTGTCTCTGAAGTTCCATATTTGAGTAACAGCCCTTACCACACAATTCACAGTGAAAGTTGAACTCGCCAAAATGTCTCTTTAAGTGTTCTCTCAGAATTCCTTTATATGTCGCTGCATATCCACAAACAGTACATATATGACTATTATTTCCAAAATGTACACGTTTCTTATGGACTCCAAGCTGGGAGGAATTTTTGTAAGTCTTAGTGCACATTCCACAAGCATAAGGGCGATCTTGGATGTGAGTTTTCTTGTGCCTTCTAATTCCAGCAGTTGTTAAAAACACTTTAGCACATACATCACATTGATGACTTCCGTTTTCAGGTCTCATGGGAAAATGAAGTTTCTGTTCACTGTTAGATTCTTGATCACTTGGAGAGTATAAATACGAATTAACTGCAAGCGAGGCTTTCTTATTACAGCGTGCTAGGTCCTCAGAGGTCTCATATGAAGCACCACCTCCTTCTTCACTCCTGCAAATAAAATTACTTTCCTGGACTGCCTTAGTGCAAACACCACCTTTCTCAGGACAGCTGGGCATTTCTCTCTTCCTGACGTATTTCACCACATCTGACAGCATCCCCTGACGAATTCTCTGGCCCTGACCTAATGTGCTTGAACAATCTTTAGCTTCCCATATTGTGACAACATGTCCCCTTCCTCCTGAGGACCTAGAAAAGAAAATAACATAGATTCTCTTAATGTTACCAGCTTTGAAAAATTAGAACATTAAAAACATCCACTAATTCGAAAACCCTGCAACAATTATTGAATGAGGCACAAATTCTGCTCAAACTAAATGTATTATGTAACCACAACTTCAAAGATGAAAACTTACTCCTTTTCACAGTGCTGTGTAAATCACTTGTCAACTGAGATATTCTTCTGACATGTTAAAACACAAGGTATAACACAAACAAGTGAGCAACTGCCAGGGGCACTGAATTCAGATGGTGAACCACTCAAGACATGTTATCATGTACACTGAACAGCAAGCTGGTGACCATTCATGGGAAGTATGCACTCTGAATGTAAGCTTGACCGCTAGATATCTCCAGTGAGGATTCTGTAGTTTTTCTTCAGTACCTCCAGATAAATTGTTAAGATAGTATTATCAACTAGGTCATGGCAATTTGCACATTCACTGTTATAGTCTGTGAATACACTGTCCTTGAATAATCCATGAAGGAGAGAAAAACTGAGCTCAACAAGTCTTCCTCACAATACCTAGGAATTGCATAAGCTTCACGCTGAAGAAGAAACAAAATCTGAAGAAGACGATTAGAGGCAATCAGTCTCACTTGTCTCCAATTTCCTCTTGGGCAGAAAAGAGAACTATTCACTTGGCTGACAGTCTGGTTCCTTAACATACACAGAAATGATCCTGATCTTGACTTCATAAAATCTCAATGCTGTTTTCAACAATAAACAAAATTATTTCATTAAATCTGCACACTAGGAACTATGAGCAAACAGTGCTACTCGTACAGTGAATAAAGTTTGTATTGCTTGCAAGATCTGTCCATCTACCATGTTCATTCAACTGAACATAAAAGTGTATTTAAAAGATAACACTAAGAGCCTGACAAACCTCAAAATATCCCGGCAAATAAGGTATTACTGTGGGCCACACATGACAATAAATATCACGCCTTCTGAAACTGTCGATATAAAGGTGTCTTAAACAATAATTCTGGAGAGGAAATAACAAATAACCCATTGTAATGGGGAAAAAATCTTATTTAATGCCATAGGACACAAATAATATTTAGGATGTAACTGGTGAGAATAATCAGGGGAATGATTCATCCACTGTCTGAATGAACATATCAATGATGGTCTGCTGCTTGATTACTCGCGGTTTCAGCTTGAAGATTACTTTTTGAGCTCTAATAAAAGCTCTGTGGCTTTTGGTCTGCAAGCGAACTATACCGACTGAGCAGCCACCACTTGTCGGCAAAGTTTGTGTCAACTTTTGTGGTTAGAGGATGTCACGTGGTCAGTGCAACATATCTGCATAGCCGTTGATCTCGGTTTCCTAGACCGGACTATAAGAAAAGGCCACTTCTTATACCAAGACACTGTAACAGTTATTATTTATGTATTTTCATTCTATGAATAGTGTAACACGAAAACAGAAGTGGACAGGCTTCCTAACACTAGTGAGCGTAATATTAATAACAGATAAATTGCAGTTTACACAGAATGCATCTGATAGAAAAACAAACATAGACACTGAATTTTATATGGAATGCCTCAATGATGCAGACAGGATTTCCATCCAGTTCTTCTGCCCAAGTGTGAACTTACAAAAAATGCTGTGCGTGTCAAAGTTTCTATGCAACAGCTCAGTATACAAGTTCCATGGGCTGTGCCATAGCTCAAGTGGTTAGTCACTGGCTTCCCAACGCGGCAGCCTGGGTTCAATCCCGGGTCTGGTCAAGTGGGATTTGTGGTTGACAAAGTGGCACTGGGGCAGGTTTTTTCCAAGTACTTCGGTTTCCCCTGCCAATTTTATTCCACCAAATTCTCCATCATCATAATCACCCAGGGTAGGCTATAATAGGCCAATCAGTTGGCGCCATGCCAAGTGGACCCAGTTGGACTCCACCCCCCACTAAGCGAACACAAGTTCCATGGCAACACATTTAATAATAGAGGTACAGTTGAAAACGGTGTTTTAAGTTCAGTCAGTGCAAAGGGGTTACAAGGAAGAGGCAGCTGAAAGGGAACCATCATTCAGACAGGACTTGAGGACAAAAGCAGAGGAATAGCCACTGTTAGAAGCCATCACCAGGAAAGACCTGGCAAAGACACCGTATGCTAGAAAAGAATTAGTGTGACCTGTGAAGTGTGGCGCTGTAATTAAGTGCAATTACTGGTAGTGTTTTAAGTGGTCAATAAATTCGATATTCAGTCCAAAACCCCATCAACAGTCATGCCATACTACATGACAATATGCTATACTACACACATACACAATGAGTCTCCAAGGTTATGTTCCAAATCAGTGCAAACTAAGGAAAGAGATTCAAGATTGGGACGAGGGCCAGTGTCCACAAAATACATCTGCAACACAGATCTTTTCCATTGCATGGATTGACCAAACGCAGTCCATCAGTCGCCTGATATCACTGCAGGACACTATTGTCTGTGCTGTTATCGAAAAGAACAAGAGTATGAACTACACAACAGATGTTTTAATTTGGCCATCAAGCAACAGTCAAAAGTAAATAGGATATATTTAACTTTTAGTGTTACATCTTTGTTCATAATTTTTCATTCTCATTTTATTTTAGTGTCTCTAAAAGTCACATTTCTGAAATTCTGTGAATAAGCCTAAAGCCTCAGACTTGGCAATGTACATGAACCATATATCGCACCAGTCCATAAAAACGCTGTCTCTTGAAATTATTAAAATATACTATCAATCCATCTCTATCTATTCCTGTTGCTCCCACTTGGAGCATAGGCATCCATTAAATGCTTTATTTAAGTTCAGATTCTTTATCTTTGGCAGCCAGTAAGAATCTTTGGATGGGGGGGGGTGTCATCCCGACACAAGGTACCAAGCTACAAAGGAAAACACAAACAAACATCCATGCTTTGTGTAGAATTTGAACCCACAATCCCAGCATTCAAGCAGCTGAAGACATTTCATGGCTTTGGCTGTGTGGTCACTGTAATCAGTCAATATATACAGGAATGAGGCTGCTGTATTCAGTGATTTATTCATCAAATCAGGTATTTTACATACAAGCAGAAAAGTTGTTCGGTGGAAAATACTTCCATCAGGCACCATCTATTCCTCTGCAGATGTCCCACCTACAATTCATATCTTGCTAGACGTTCTGTAGCATTTACACTGTAACATGTGATTCACTCTTTGGCTTTACACTTGAACTTTCAAACAACTCATAGAAACAAGTCCAGAGGCAAAAGATCAGGAGAACAAGGGGTGCAGCAGAATTGGTCCAACTCTTCTTATCCATCAACCTGGGAAATTAACATTTAAACAGACATGGACAGAGTGACCTAAATGAACAGGTGCACTGTTTAGTTGGAAAATCAGGTTGTTGATGTTGTTGTTGTTGCTACTGGGCTGCCAAAGAGCATTATTTTCTAACATATATAGAAATTATCTGACTGTAATTGTTCCCATCAAACAAAAATGGGCCAATGACTCTTTTGTGTTTAGGCACATATCTGTCATTCCTTTCAGGACTATCCCATTCATGCTCTATATAGTCTCCGAGAGGCCAGTACATAAATATTAAGCATAGTGGAGGCATATACAAGGTAACCTTAAATTGTTAATGTCTGAACCAAAGGTTCGACAAAACCAGCATAGAAGCCATGCAGGCAAAAGAATGATCAACCCATTCCACAGCACCATAACATACCTTCTTATCAAAAATTCCATAAATTCAGAAGTATTCTAAATACGTAGGTCATACCAAAAGTCATGAGCAACTTTCTTTTGCATGCAACCTGGGAACAGCAGACAAAAGAGAGTATAGTGGTAGATGGAACCAGCTGTTGTGTTAAACTTGAGTGTCTTGTGACATCAATAGCTTGCATCACTGACCAGTATCACTCCTAACAAAATGGCTGACAATGATATGTCGTTTCACCAGCGTGCTGTCATCGAATTTCATCGAATTTCTTGTGAAAGAGGAAATCCCTGTTGCAGAAATTCACCAGAGTGTTCAGCGTGCTTATGGAAGTGTGTGCATTGGTGCGAGTAGTGTTCAAAGAAGGGTGAAACATTTTAACGATGGGAACACCAGCATCAAAGATGAGCCTTGGAGTGGTCATCCTCAAACAGCCTCAACTGAATGCAACAAGGAAATAGTGGATGAGATCATTCAAGATGACAGGTGTGTGACTGTGGACACAATAGCCTGAAAACTTGGAATAGGGCACAGTCCAGTACAGGTGATGATTAAAAGCTTGGGCTATAGGAAAGTTTGTGCTCGTTGGGTCCCGCGGTTACTGACCGAAGACCACAAAGGTCAGCAAAAAGCCATCACCTCAGAACTGCTGCAGAGATATTGACATGAAGGCGATGATTTTTTTGCTCTGTATTGTGACAGGTGACAAAAGCTGGTTTCACCATTTCGAGCCTGAAACGAAATGACAGAGTATGGAATGGCACCATTTGCATTCTCTATCAAAAAAGAAGGCAAAGACAGTGCCATCAGCTGTGAAGGTGATGGGCACAGTCTTCTGGGATGTAGAGGGGTTTATTCTGACCGAATTCCTGGAACCTGGGAAAACCATCAATGCTGCTCGTTATGTCCAGACACTGCACAAGCTCCATTGTGCATTGTGTGATAAACGTCCAGGACAAAACATCATCATCCTGCATGACAACGCTCACCCCCACGCCGCTCACCTCACATTGGAAGCAATTGCAACGATAGGGTGGGAAGTTCTTCCACACCCCTCCCATAGCCCTGATCTGGCACCGTCAGACTACCATCTTTTCGGATTTGTGAAGGATCAGCTGCGTGGACAACGTTTTGAGACAAGGGAGGCTATTCAGGAAGCAGTGCGTCAGTGTGTTCAGATGGCTGGAACGGGATTTTACAAAAGGGGAATTTTCAAACTCCCAGAACGCTGGGAGAAATGTGAACAAAGAAGTGGTGATTATGTGGAAAAATAAAGAAAGGTCTGTAGACTGAGGTGGTGTATTTGGTTTGCCAATAATAAAGCATGTTACTTTACAAAAAATTGTTGCTCACGACTTTCAGTACGACCCTCATACATAGCACTGAGCTAGAGGACCATACTTCATGGATCCTCCACAAATCTAATATAAATAGATTGAAACTGTTATGTCGCAAGCAGGGGGGGCGTGGAGTTATCCCTCCTCGCCTCCACTTGATTTGTCGCGACGCTGGCACCACTTGTAACGTCGCGACGACGGGGGTGTGCAGGTACCCCTCCTTGCCACCCCAGCTTATGCTGTAAGGATTCAACACCATAATCCTAGCTTACCCTCAGCTAGGATTCTCCTATTTCGGGGTTTCCTTCTCTCAAAAAGCTGCCACCATCTATTATATGTCCTAAGTGAGGTGATGTAAGTGCCCAGGGCCGGTAGCGCGTAGTTGAGCGTTCACTGTTGGCTGGCCCTTTCAGCGCTGTCACCTCTTATTACTGGCGTACAGCGGGCGTGTCAGATCTGACCCGCCTCTACCTATCGTCTGTCATCTCTATTGTGGGAACTACCCCTGACATATAGTCATAGCTCCCTCTTGACAACTCCTCATATAGTCTACAGGTAGCCACGTGTTACATTATTAATACATCTTAAGGGGGCGTTGATATTAAGGCTACTAAACTCTGCCTGTGTGGCAGGAGCCTATCCCTGTCTACTCCTAGTACCTCCCCTTAAGCATTCGGCTGCTGTTGCAACCCTCCTTTCATATTGGTAGGATCTGCATGATCTGTCATGGGAAGGTGATTATGGAGGGATGAATCACAATTCCCTGCGTCCATCCTACTCTCTCTACTCTGTCTATTTACACTCTTATATTTACATGACTTACAATATTTACAGTATTAACAAAGCCGACTTTCAGTCGGGTCTACATAGGCTTCACTTCACGGTACACTAGGAACCTCCCCCTTCGGGGGTGTAAAACTAGAGTCAGTCTCTCTCTCTCTTCGA